GGGAGTCCATGTTTTGTGTATGTTACCAGATATCATTGGTAGACTGAGGGTGGGGAGTCCATGTTTTGTGTATGTTACCAGATATCATTGGTAGACTGAGGGTGGGGAGTCCATGTTTTGTGTATGTTACGAGATATCATTGGTAGACTAAGGGTGGGGAGTCCATGTTTTGTATATGGGTAGTCCATTTATCCCAGGACAGTGAACTCTTGTGGCCCAGTCACACAGCATGGCTGATTTACATATACATAGGCTTAATGGCTTAGTATGCATACATTAGTGTTCAAAGGTCGTCTGTATATGAGGTGTAAGATTTCTGGACAAGCTTTCAGAGTTTGTGTTTTCAAGACCATAGATAAAATACATATAGGCTATGTGAAGTAATTCTACCTCAGTGTTGGTCACAGCAGTAACGGTAGAAATTCCAAGGCACAAAGTCAGTTCTGTGAATCTTGTTACAGTTAAGAACATAACCAATCAGAAATGAAGGTTGGTTAGAAATGATAAATAGGAGCAATTGAGATACAAGGAGCTTTTTAGTAAATGTCAGGTTTTTATATCATCACCTTAGCAACAATACTATTGATAAGGACATACATATACACCAAGCTCTTATCATTAACTTTCTCTAGGAGCGATTTTTAGCATCTACTTGACCTATTACAACATTTAAATTGAAAATATTTAAAAGATTTTTTCAAGGAGTCAACTTTAATGATGTAGTATCAACCACAGTACAAAGTAACACAAATTGCTTTAATTTACTCACTAAAATAAACATCTTAGTGATGATGTCTATAAAAGTTAAGATATACATTGCCGAGTCTGTGGAAGACATGATATAGCAAACACATAAAGAACATGCATGAAGCTATTTTTGGTTACAGTGGGAATCCATAGTTTTAGAACCAGGTTTACAAATTAAGTAAAAGTTTTAGCTATGAGTTTCATAAAAAGAATCAATTATACCTAAGTCACATGTTAGGAATATGAGAATCAGCTGGCTTTTTTCAACCTGAACTGTACGGTTGGAAAAGTTGTTGGCTGGAAGATCAGTGTTAAACAATGGATGTGTTATACTATTAGTAGGTAATGATGAAGACAGCTGGTTCTGATATTGAGGGGGTCTAGGTACACTGCCAGGCTTCACACATGGTGTTACCAGTTCTCATCAATCATGACACTTGTTGCTAAACTCAATTTAAAGTTAATACCTCATACTTCCTGCTGCTGGAGCCAGCTACCAGGGACTTATTGTTTCCTCATGTTGGAGGGGCCAGCTACCAGGGACTTATTGTTTCCTCATGTTGGAGGGGCCAGCTACCAGGGACTTATTGTTTCCTCATGTTGGAGGGGCCAGCTACCAGGGACTTATTGTTTCCTCATGTTGGAGGGGCCAGCTACCAGGGACTTATTGTTTCCTCATGTTGGAGGGGCCAGCTATTGTTTCCTCATGTTGGAGGGGCCAGCTACCAGGGACTTATTGTTTCCTCATGTTGGAGGGGCCAGCTACCAGGGACTTATTGTTTCCTCATGTTGGAGGGGCCAGCTACCAGGGACTTATTGTTTCCTCATGTTGGAGGGGCCAGCTATCAGGGACTTATTGTTTCCTCATGTTGGAGGGGCCAGCGACTGTTAATATCCCACAATACAGGAGCTAGCTATTGTAGAGACAAAATCTCTTATACAGGTGGCAGCTACTGTTAAAATTCCACAATACAGGGGCTAGCTATTGTAGAGTCAAAATCTCTCATACAGAGGGCAGCTACTGTTAAAATTTCACAATACAGGGACTAACTATTGTAGAGACAAAATCTCTCATACAGAGGGCAGCTACTGTTAAAATTCCACAATACAGGGACTAACTATTGTAGAGACAAAATCTCTCATACAGAGGGCAGCTACTGTCAAAATTCCACAATACAGGGACTAGCTATTGTAGAGTCAAAATCTCTCATACAGAGGGCAGTTACTGTCAAAATTCCACAATACAGGAGCTAGCTATTGTGGAGTCAAAATCTCTTATACAGGGGGCTAGCTACTGTCAAAAATCCATATTACAGGGGCTAGCTATTGTAGAGACAAAATCTCTCATACAGAGGGCTAGCTACTGTTAAAATTCCACAATACAGGGGCTAGCTATTGTAGAGTCAGAATCTCTTATACAGGGGGCCAGGTATTGTCAAAATTCCATATTACAGGGGCTAGCTATTGTAGAGTTAAAATTTCTCTACTGAAGGGCAAGTTACAAGAAAGTCATATCTTCTACTGGATTGACAAAATAGTTATGGGAAAGTTATTTTTTGCTGGAGAGGAATTAGGACTACTAGAGATGTTTCTAACATATTTACAAAGTGTGGTTTTAGGTTTAGGAAAATGGTTTGAACTCAGTGATGTATGATTCATCAACTATAAGGATTATTTTGAATGAGAGTAGTTACATAATTTTCTCTAAGCTTTAACTCTTTGGATCAAAGTAATGTGTTTCGCTTTTAACTCACCGACCAAAATTGAGCGAGATTACATGTATACCCTCCTACTTTACTGCTGTCGCTATTGTCTGTCAGGTCAGTTGATAGAAAAGTCCTGGCAATATCTCATAATGGACTTGTAGCTGAATAGAAATTGGTAGTCATTGGTCAAGGTCAAAGGTCACAGTTGAAGAAAGTTTCTGAAGCTGTTCAGCTTCTCACTAATTCAAACCTGACCCTGTTTTAGTGTCATAAATAATTGTAATATTTTACAGGCAATCTGACATGAATAATGTGCAAGGTTCCATTCTGTTCAATGTTTCTATTTATAATATATATATAACAGGTGAATCCAGGACTCCTGTTGATATTACTGATACCCTGACACATGGAGGTTATAACTGATAGCCATGTGTTGTCTTTCATTTATGCACGCAGATGGATAAAATTCATATCAGCCATTTTTCATCTTGACTTACAAAACACATTTATGATACAATAATTTTCTTTTTGAACTTGAAGTTATCTTTAAAAAAAAATAAAATTTAGCATACCGGCATTGTGCTGATCATACAAATGGCTAATTGATATATCCTTAGAATGTCTGTTAAAATCATACATCTCATTTCAACTTGTCTGAATTATCATGTCAGCAGAATCAGATAAATGAACATTTTTTCAGAGTACAATGACGTACTTGATCTTCTGTCATTGAATACATTTGTTGATGTATTTCTGGAGAATATTGAAGTACATGTTGGTGTACTTGAGATGTTTGAAGATACACCTGGTTTATAACTAAAGCTCTTCAGACATTACATGGTAGACATTGATAAACCTACAACAATCATAAGATCAGACCTCAATAACAACCATCATTAGCTTAAAGTTGTCTGTTTAAATTTTCAAAATTATTAAAAAAGAAAATTTATCAATAAAAAATGGATTAATATCATTTACATAGTGTTTTTCTTATAACAAACGGTAAGGAACTTCCTTAGTCACTTGTTTAATAAGAACCACAGATTGAAATTAACACCACCAAGACACCAACACAAGAAATGACATTTTTGTAAATAAATCTATGTTTAAAAAATCAAATGGATCATATTTCAGAATGTGTGCTGATATATAAAAATGTTGTTTTTAAAATGTGACATAAGATATTTGCGTTTAAGTATTTGACCTGATTGTTTGGTATTCTATAGTTTATTTGACTTGAACAGGTGTTTACATTGTACATAGGTAGTGATTTGTGTCCTATTACAATTTATAGCCATTGTAAATTTTATAAATAAGCAGGATCACACATACACCAAAATACATGTCAACACCTGCTGACTGTAAATACTCTGTAAATCACACACCAATGGTAGATAAACAGAGTGAATACAGGTAACCCAGTAGTCATCCTCTGAAAGACCGAAAGGTCATAATAGTGCACATAAAACCTGTTAATTAATAAAAAAAAGTAACTGATCTTAAGTAGAACATGTTGGATACTTATACAGACAGATAGTCGGTGATATTATGTAGTCAGTATGATTTCACTGCTTCATTATAGCATGCGGTACATTCCCATACAGTACGATCAAATTTTGATATTATATACAGTCACCTTTCTTATGGCCAAGATATGTATAAATGAACAAACGGAGATTGTTTTCCAATTCCCTTTTCGTCACTCTATAATCTATAAATCCAAGATATTGTGTAATCAGGGCAGGAAACCGAGAAGATGTGAGGTAGAAATGTGCAAGAACAACAAAACTTATGCTACTGCACAGTAGCATAGGCCAATATATACACACGTGCACAAAACTGCATGTAAGGGTGATGATATTTGGTGTGTCTGTGAGTTCCTAGCCATGAAATGTTGTTATACCAAACACAATTACTGTCAAGGTCATGGTTATCTACCGAGTTTTGTTTTCCTCTTTTCCCTCATGAATATGTTTCCTGTATAACATACCATTTATGTTTGATTCTGTTTTCATTGTACATCATTTGATGTCTCACATTTTGGTAATTTATTATTGGAAAGGAAGGAAAAATAAACCTAGTACATTTCTAAGGCTCAATACAGAAAATACAGCTTCAGCCACCGTCCTTCTACGATGGTTTTTATGATAAAATCTCCAAAGGAAATAACAAAATTAAGAAACGTATGTATATTCATTGACCTGATCAGTGGTACAAGTCCATATAACCACAGCCATTATCTCTTCACAATACCCTGTGTAAACTGTACTCCAGAACTTTCATTCTTGGTCAAATTTTGCTGCTAACCATCCTCTTACATTAGTATTGGGGCTTTAAGGAAAAAAATACCTCTTAGTGGCATATCTCATTCTGTCATCAACAGTTCGGGTCTTGTGGCTATACAGAGTTATGGCCCTTTTGTATTGACTATCGATGATTTTATCTTTGGCATTTGGTATACAAAAATTGCATATATCATTTATGTAATTTGAAGCCATACACTGAGAATTGCACACAATATGGTTTTCATTACTTTATATTTTTCAGGTATACATTGTCAAAGTGGCCGTCAGCCTCAGTGTGAACAAGGAAGTTGTTACCCAGCCACAGGAGACCTGCTGATTGGAAGAAAAAGTGATGAACAATTGTATGCCTCGTCAACATGTGGTTCCAGAAATCCAGAGACCTATTGTATTGTTAGTCATTTAGAAGAAGAAGAAAAGTGTTTTAGTTGTGACTCGAGGACCCCTTGGTCATTACAGAATAATCAGAGTCATAAGATAGAAAATGTTGTATCTTCGTTTATTAGAGACAGAAGGGTACGCTGGTGGCAGGCCGAGAATGGAAGAGAAAATGTACATATACAGTTAGACTTAGAGGCAGAATTTCATTTTACTCATCTCATCATGACATTTAAATCTTTTAGACCAAAAGCTATGCTTGTAGAAAGATCACATGATTTTGGCAAGACATGGAAGGTTTACAGGTATTTTGCATACAACTGTGAAAAGTCGTTCCCAGGAGTTTCCCGAGGCCCAGTACAAAATCTTACGGATGTGATTTGTGAGACAAGATATTCAGACGTTGAGCCTTCTACAGGAGGGGAGGTAATTATATCATTTTTATACAATCATCAACCACCACCGACAACTGCACCGTTTCACCCTTGAGATCGAGGCTTGTATAAAGCTGTTAACATTTATTGGATTTTATTGTGATTTAGTACAGTTAAAGTGCATGTACCTCATTTAATCACTGCTTATGGGCATATAGTGTATACATGGGACTGCGATAGTTCATCAGTCAGTAAAGCATTGGCTAACCAAACCTCAGGTGAGGATCTGAGGATGGTAATTAGATGTTCCCTACCCATGTCAGTTTGTGTTTCTCAGGAAGCTGAGGGACACACAGGTCTGTGCTGACATGGTTGTGTCATTGGGCTAGACTCTATTCCAATTGCTCTGTATGACATGTGATGGGCCTCTGGTATCTTGTTCGTTAGGTAGCCACCAGCTAATACAAGCAGTCCCAAACTTACCCCTGGCTAATCACCTGCCAATGAATTCAACAGACAAAGCACAAAATGTGGAAATTTTAATTCAAGAATTCTAAACAAGAACATTTTGGTAATTGATATTGCATGTTAACGAGTGGATTCTAAAGTATAAAAGGCCAAGTGTGTAAGTGACATAGATTGAGAGAATTATTGTTTATAAAGTACTAGGATTAGTATCTTTGGCCTTGGTAGAAGGGGGCTGTATTGATACCAATTTACCTTACATAACTTCTCTACTTCTTAGTGCTAATGATAATGATGGATCATTATTGATAAAATATCACTTAGTTATTCCCCATTTACATTGGTAACAGCCTTAAAATATTGTTATGCCCCCGGCCATAAATGGTGGGGTCATATAGCGTTGCCCATGTCCATCCGTCCCGTCCCATCCCGTTGCTTCCCGTCCCGTCGCGTCCCGTCGCGACCCAAATCAGTATATACCACCTAACAACTTCATTCGGACCTTTCACTTTTATTTCACATGGGGGGTTGGGGGCATTCATGTCTTACAGACATTTTCTAGTTACTTTAAAGATATGCCCTTAGTTATTACCCACTTACATTGGAAACAGCCTTAAAATATTGTTACTATAAAAATATGCCCTGAGTTATTAACCACTTACATTGATAACAGCCTTAAAATATTGTTACTTTAAAGATATGCCCTGAGTTATTAACCACTTACATTGATAACAGCCTTAAAATATTGTTACTATAAAAATATGCCCACTTACATTGATAACAGCCTTAAAATATTGTTACTTTAAAGATATGCCCTGAGTTATTAACCACTTACATTGATAACAGCCTTAAAATATTGTTACTATAAAAATATGCCCTGAGTTATTAACCACTTACATTGATAACAGCCTTAAAATATTGTTACTTTAAAGATATGCCCTGAGTTATTAACCACTTACATTGATAACAGCCTTAAAATATTGTTACTATAAAAATATGCCCTGAGTTATTAACCACTTACATTGATAACAGCCTTAAAATATTGTTACTATAAAAATATGCCCTGAGTTATTAACCACTTACATTGGTAACAGCCTTAAAATATTGTTACTATAAAAATATGCCCTGAGTTATTAACCACTTACATTGATAACAGCCTTAAAATATTGTTACTATAAAGATATGCCCTGAGTTATTAACCACTTACATTGATAACAGCCTTAAAATATTGTTACTATAAAAATATGCCCTGAGTTATTAACCACTTACATTGGTAACAGCCTTAAAATATTGTTACTATAAAAATATGCCCTGAGGTTGACATTATCAGGTCAAGAATACAAAGGATTCAATTTCTTATGTCAAACAAAGTAACTGTTTTACAATCGGTGTATATTTATCACAGGAGATTTTCTTGATAAGCTATGGTTATTTTTATACCAGGTCAGCCTGGCTAGAACTGGATAACTACAATCTAGCCTAAATCCTCTACACAAACACCTGGTACACAGTTTACCCAGGGTAAGAAGCTTAGCAGCCTCAGTGTGAATGGCTGTATTATATAACTACTTACTCAATCTACAACAGGATTTAGATTTTTGATAAGACATCAAACTTTAAAAACATGGAGATGTTTATATGTCTGGCCTTACCTCATGATCATCATTGTATAATACATTAGCGATAAGACAATCAGAGAGAATACAAAATTTGGGGCTGAAATCAATAGAAACTATTTGGAGAGAGCACTGATAATGTACTATATTTACAAATTAATTGATCGGACAGCCCTGAAGTGATACATTCTGAGATACACTAGTATTGATATACATTGGATACATTTGTATTGTGCTTATTCGTAGAGAATTTACCTTTTCCTTCAAGTCTTGTGGCATATTTAATTCTATTTCTATAGAATATTACCCTATCCTTAATTATGTGAAGCACCTTTCATGGAGAGCATGACCCTTCCTTTAGATAGTTTAAAATATTTTGATAAACAATTTTAGGAAGAGAGCACAATCCTACACCCTTAGATAATGTATTATATTTAGAGATAATTTTTCATGTATGACCTACTAATACAGTAACCTAAGCCTTTTAACATTTTCTGAGAACGTAATTCTACACTTAATCACAAGAGTAACAAAATCTAGGGAACAACCTGCCCCCAAATCATGTTAAACAGAGGACATTCCTTACTCTAGAACAGAATATATGAAATAGATCTCAAGTTATATTGCCAAATCTACACTAGATCACAAGAGTAACAAGATACAGGGAACAACCTGCCCCCAAATCATGTTAAACAGAGGACATTCCTTACTCTAGAACAGAATATATGAAATAAATAGATCTCAAGTTATATTGCCAAATATATGAAATAGATCTACACTAGATCACAAGAGTAACAAGATACAGGGAACAACCTGCCCCCAAATCATGTTAAACAGAGGACATTCCTTACTCTAGAACAGAATATATGAAATAGATCTCAAGTTATATTGCCAAATCTACACTAGATCACAAGAGTAACAAGATACAGGGAACAACCTGCCCCCAAATCATGTTAAACAGAGGACATTCCTTACTCTAGAACAGAATATATGAAATAGATCTCAAGTTATATTGCCAAACAAAATACTAAAGACATGTTTTCCAGTACTGCTTATTATGATCAACATAAAAAAACCATTTTGAATCGGAATACAATGATAATGTACTGTAATTTGTTTAAAGGTTATAGATCATAAATAGTATATTACTGGTGTATTGTAGTGTAGTTGGGAATGGGCAGTCAATGTTAGGTAATTGTGTGGTGTAATTTAACCCTACTGGTATCGTAACTTTTAAACAATCACACAGATATCATAACATTACATTTGTACTTTAATACAGAACTAGGCTTGACTGCCAGAGCTGTGTAATTAGTAATTTATAAAATATGGTACAGAATTGGTCAGATTATGCCCTGTAATTTTCTTTGTGTTTGAGACATGAGCCTTGAACAATACTTCATATTTATATAGTGTTGCGTAATCTAAATACAGACTGGGCTCTCCTTACACACCATAGGAGTGGAGTCGTAAACCACACTATATTGTAATCGACCAATGATAGGGCTCCCACACAATAATATCAGCATCGTACCTGTCCATACCTGAGAAGTAACGATGGCGTGATTCTTCACACCTGTATTAACTTGACAGTTGTAATTAACCGCTTGGTTACCTGAAACTTGTACAGATCAGACTAGTCTTGACTTAATTATAAGCTGAGTTTTTTCCTGAACACTGCTCAGTAACTCAGTGTTGTGCTGGATCTAGAATACAGAGAAGTGGGTCCAGAAACAGGTAGTGAGGGGATGGGGGGGGGCCAATTTTTTCCCCATTTTCAAAATGCTATCATGAAAGATCATTTATTATTCCTGGAAAGTTAATATTGGGAGGGGGGGGAACTATTTTGAGTTTTATTCTTGATTTCTTTCATAATTTTCTTGTTTTCTCTTATACACATTTCCACAATTTTCAAAAAGTTGATTTGAAGCCTTGTGCAGTATAAGTGAAGACTGTTGGGCAGGGTTGCAGTATGTATTGGTTTTATTTGTAAAGGCCAAAGTCAATACTGGGTTTGGTTCTGGCATTATTAGTTGTAGTTGTTGGATTATCAGGAGATGGGGAGGACTGTGCATCATGCTATTTATAGCATACCTACTCCGCCCAGCCCAGCGATGTAACACTGAGAGGATATAGTCTTCCTCATACATTCCGTTTTGTGACTGGTGGAGATGACTGCCAGGTAGTGATGGCACATCATATAGATAATGTTAACACTTAAATTTGGTGCTAGAAACACAAATTTGTTCTGACCTGTCCTGACCATTATGGTACATGCAGATTTGATAGGTAGGGTATAATAGAAAATCATGAAAGTCTGCCTCAGACATACAGTACCCTAAGGTATATAATCATAAAGATATTTGGGACAGAGGTACAAATATTTGAGATGGAGGTATTGGGACAGAGGTTTAAGTATTTCGGACAGAGGTACAGATATTTGAAATGGAGGTATTGGGATGGAGGTATAGGTATTTGGGACAGAGGTACAGATATTTGGGACGTAGGTATTGGGACGGAGGTATAAGTATTTGGGACAGAGGTACAGATATTTGGGACGTAGGTATTGGGACGGAGGTATAAGTATTTGGGACAGAGGAACAGATATTTAGGACAGGGGTAGATGTTCGAGACATAGGGGTTGAAGAGAGACTACAATTTTAATGGTTTATGAAATAGGTCATGGTTCACATAAGTAAATAGATTGGTGTATAGTGTAAATAGGAGGCTAGAAGTATGTTTGTGGTGTGGGGAGTTAGTGCCCATAAACCACAGATAAAGATATGGTCTGACTCTCTCTGTACTGGGGGGCTTGGTATTATGTTAGAATTCAGCGTTATTAAAGTTTGAAATTGTTTAACTGAAAGTCCTGTAAATATATAAGTACATTTTGTTTGAAATCTGAGAATGTTTCTTTTTATATGAAATATTTAAGATCCATTTCAATATCTATCCTTTTATTACAGTTAGA